CACATGGAGATTGGTGAAATACAAGACTTTAGACACCCCATAAAGAAGAATATAAAGATTATAACGGGATAGACTTGAGTGATCAGGGTTGGGGTGACAGGATGATGAAATAATTTTAATAAATTATGAAAGTTATAAATTCAGTTGTCAAATATGCTCTATGAGAGCAGAGGAATCCAACATTTTATTCATACAGGATGCCCAAAGCCTAACACCCAGTAGCCACTGTTGGTAAACACAAGTTGGAAGACAGAAATAATAGCCAAAGAAATGAAATCTCTAAAACTATAAATTCTTACCTCAGTTTATTGTTTAAAAACTCAAGGCAATAATATTATTTTAGTTGTATGATCTCCCCTGACCTTCTTTGGACCCTAAGGAGTGAAAACAAGTGACTGAACTTTGTCAGGACTCTATGATGTTACAACTATGTCAATCTTATACCTTAGGTAGTGATGAAGATAGCAGAGAAATGAGGCTAATCTGAGAAAGGAACCATTATTTTTACTTCAACCATAACCCCACCCCCAAACAATCTATCTTACAGAGTAATTGTAAGGAGAAACAAATGCATACAGCTCTGACGTGCCATAACAAAATGTATCATCCTTTCCAAATTTCTGTTTGGTCTACCATCTCTAGATGGCCATTGACAGAATGAAACACAGATGAAATGGTATACTCACCCTGGGTCATTAGGAGAATAATTGCTGCCAATTGGCAATGTAAAGGGACAACTGGAAAAAGTTTATTTTTTAAAAAATAGAATACAGTTGGTTTGTAAACTTTGGACAATATTTTTAAAGTTATCTGTGACAAGGAGCAATTTTAGAGAGCCTGCTGGGCATATTTCACCAGATGGGATCCCAGCTTCTGGATTCAAAACTGGCAGCCTATTTAGGTGGGGCTTTAAATTCAGTATGAAAAGAATTTTCTGGATGCCCTGTGCCTTCCAAACAGACAGAACTTGTTTCCAGTTTTGAAGAAATACTAAACAACATTTCTATCAAAAAGAACAGGGAACTTAATTAAAGACATCTGGTAAGTGACACATTTATCTAAATGTAGAATATCGAAAGAATCCTAAGTCAAACAGAGGGCAATTTCATCAAGAAAACAACAAATCCAATTGAGCAGATAATATCTTGAATCGCTTCAAACTTGTGGGAAGAAAATTGTTCGGGGACTGGGAAATTGGGAATTTAATGTAAAATCCTACAAGATACTTTATAATTCAATACACAAGAGGTTTGATAAATGAAGAAAATCAAAATTTATCCAGCTTACCCACCAGATGACATTTATGAAAATTCATGAGCTCAGAGACTATCAACCGAGATACTGTACAGAATAGTGTTTTAAGTTTTTTAAATAACCTCTGATTTAAAAATATACTATTAGTATGGGAATTTTATACCCATCCTCTTATCTGAACTTTTCATTCTCCTTCCTGATTAAGAAAAAAGCAGTGAGGTAGTGGGTTTTGGCAGAGGAAATAAGGGTTACTCAGACTATCCAGTATGAAATTTATAAATCTTTGAAAAATTAACTCAACTGGTAAATCCATCAATACGATAAGGTACTTCAGAAACCTGTGTCATTGTGTTGGATGCTAAAAACAAGCAATATAAAATAAGCAAAACAAGAATAGTGATGAAAGGGGAAATAGTCTTGAATAAAATTGAATTTAGTTTCTCAATCTATGAAGAGGATAATAAATATCATCATGAAGAGTTCCCCTAACATAAACTCCATAAATTTTTAAAAAGATATGAATCAGATCATTTTCAGTAATACAAAGTTGAGAGAATATGTTGATTGTATAGTATTGGTCACCATCCTTTGGACTTAAATATCATGTCTATAACCCTACTACTCAAGGGGCAGAGATCAGGAGGATTGTGGTTTGAAGCCAGCCCTGGGAAATAGTTCACAAGACCCTATCTTGAAAAAAATCATCACAAAAAAGGGCTGGTGGCAAGGTGTAGGCCCTGAGTTCAAACTCCAGGACAGAAAAAAAAAATTCTGGACAGGCATGATGGTGCATTTCTGTAACCCTATCTACTCAGGAGGCAGAGACAGGAGGATTGAGTTTGAAGTCAGCCCAGGCAAAAATTCATGAGATCCTATCTCAAAAACAAAATACAAACTAAAGGGAGTGTTGCTCAAAAGGTAGAGTCCTTAATTAGCATGCTCAAGACCTTGGATTCAATCTCTAATATCACAAAAAAAAAAAGAGAAAGAAAAGGAAGAAAGTAAGGAAGGGAAAGAAAGAGAGAAAAAAGAGAGAAAGAAAAATAAAGAGAGAAAGAAAGAAAGAAGGAAGGAAGGAAGGAAGAAAAAAAGAGAGAGAAAGAAAGAAAGAAAAAAAGAAAGAAGAGTTTAACTCTATTATGGACTAAATGCTTCTGTCTCACCTAAATTCATGGTAGAATGTCATAGCTGAACTCCTAATATGATAGTATTTGGAGGTGGGACCTCTGAAATTAATGAGTAAATGAAGTCATGACAGAACTCAAATAATGGAATAGTGACCTAGTATGAAGAGACCTCAGAGACCTTGTTCTTTCTTTCTAAGCTGTGAGGATCCCTGAGAAGGTGATGTTTGCAAGACATCAGCAAGCCAGCAAAAGAGCCCTTCCTGGGAACTGAATTGGCTGGCACTTTGATCTTGGACTTCACAGTCTCCAGAATTTTCAGGAGCTAAATTTCTGTTTAAGTCTCCTAGCCTATGATATTTTGTTATGAGATAGGCCAATCTGACTAATATATTTTCTTTGCCACAGGTGCCTTCATTTATAAGTTTACTTGGAAATTGATGTTCAATTTATGAATGAGCATATGAACTGGAATCACAGAAACTCAAAACTGGTGATAAACAGAAGTCTTGCCTAGTTTTACTACCCATTTTATGCCTGAATCTTTTATACAATATAGAGACTGGCTAAGTCATTTTGCAAACTACACTGGAACATCTTCAGTGAGGTGTACTCCCTAATAAGATGATTACTTAAAGACAGTCTTTTTTCCCTTCTCTTTTGATTGTCTTAATTTACAGTGACAGATACAAGACCCACAGAGTGACTTGTAGAGGGAACAGAAACTGTTTTAACATTTAAAACATTCTCTGGATTTTCAAATCTCCTATTGCCAAAGAAGAATATTCTTAGATTCTAAATTAAATCAATTGTTCAAACTTTCTTCAACAAAAACAGGAAACATCTACTTCCAAGTGTAGTGCACAATTTTGGATTCTCTAATGACAAAGTCTTAAGGAATGGGGGGTGATGTTCCTGGACCAATGCAAAGTAGACTTTTGAAGCCTTAAATGACAACTTGTAGCCAAAAAGTCTGGCTCTTTTCTCTGATAGGGAATAATCTTCTGCTTAGAGTCACTTAATTAAGTAGAAGCATTTTCTTTGTGCCAGTAGATTTTGAAGACGCTAGGAAGAAGTAAAATGAGAGCTCTACTGTTGACATTTGAACAAATGCAGGCAATTCAGGTTCTCTTAATCTGGAAAGCTGAACCTTTCCAACAAGATGGAAAAATTTGCATAAAACAAATATAAGTAAGAAATGTTTTAGCATCACTAAGTACTTGAAGTTCCTTAAAGTCACAGTTCAGTTAATTATTTGCTTTTAGAATGTTTTCCTTCCAGAACAGGGAAGTGTATAATGATACATTCTAATTATCCAAAATACTTTCCTTTTTGCCTTTACACATCTTTCTCATATCACTTTTTTCTGAAATTCAACAAAAAAGGAAGAAGTATGTTAGTGGTTTGCTTTCATATGTAATTCATAATAAGAAAACTCAGAAACAGAAAAATGTATTTGCCATTTGGTAATTTGCATGCAGGTCATTCCTATTACAATGAGCAACTCTGTGGCCCTTTATTTTATGCAAAATCCACACAACAAAACACCAACTAGAAAAACAAATGAATATGAAGTTTCCTTCAGAGCATATTAAAGTCACTGGTTGGTTATTAAACACAGTACTCAGTGAAAGGATTGGCATACCTCTCTGTATGAAAGACAAGTAGAATATCTTCATTTTGTAAAGAAACCCTGTTGGCTACCCATACTTTCATCTTCATATACTCTTAAAAGCTAGCTTCTAATTCTATAGAAAGAATGAAAGAGGGCTTTGGGCCCTCACAATAGACACTGGATGTAACACAAAGCATTCCCATACTAGAGAAATGTGTTTGCACTTGTGGTTTTTCTGATGCCTTCAAATGAATGTTCCTACGTCACAATCACATCTGTTTGGATGCCTTCTCCCCCTTGGGTAAATGAACAAAGGGATATGTTCTTAGAGCTTGCCTGATGGAAATTAACAGTCTACATTCATTCTTGTTTTGTGTAGCTTTCTTTGAGTTGCTCTATTTGTTCTTTTTTTTTCATAAGTTAATAAGAAACTTAAAATTATGAATTTGATAACTTATCATGAATTTCCAAGTAACTGGAAAATGTTTAACCTTCACCAGGGCCTCAGGATTCTCACCTAAAAATGTTTCAAAGAAGATGAAAAGGAGCATTAGAGACCTATGCCAAGATAGTAGATTATGCAAGGGCTGGAATTTCAGAGGGTGTGAGAGGGTTACAAGTATCTTTCACATAATTTCAATGCATACTTTAGGACCTGCCCAGAAAGTTTGATGAAAGTTTTAGACATAAATTTCTTCAATTTCAATTTTTAACTGTGTATTTGTTGCTTGCATTCAAAAATCAGGGTATTCAATATCATTGGGTATTCAACAGGCTTATGTGAATGAAACGGAAGGCATGTAAACTGACTGAAAGAGAATTTGACCAAACATCAACCAAGCCAAACAAACAAATCTTCATTTGTTAATAAGTTGCATACAGTTAGAGAACTGAAAGTTAACAAAAGGTTTCCCACAAGCCTAATCATAATAGCTTAGTATTAAAATCCAAAAAAATACAGTGAAATGCAGTGAATTTTAGGAAAGATGAAAATAAAAGGTACTTACACTTTTGCTCCGAGAAAGCAAATCACATGTATTTCTTTTCATGATGGTGTTTAGGTAATTCACACAGCACTAGTTGTTTCCAACGTCAGTGCTCTCACTGCAACAATTATCCACTCAAAAGCCAACTGGAATGCTGAAAAAAAGGCAAGGAAATGTTTAATCAAGTATATGATTAACACGTGCACTTTGAAATGCTGTCTTAAGACTAGGACAGTAATTCTTAAATAATTCATCAGAACAAGCTAAAATGTTGATGTGTTTAAAGCAGTAGAAGTACACACAAGCAACATTCTCAAAACAGCTTTTGTTAAATGTTATTTAGAGATTTTAAGCACCATCTGTTTTCTATTAAATAGTACAGTCTACTTTTTTTAGTGACTGAAATGAATAGGTATGGTAACCACAACCTAAAGTTACATATATGAAACAAGGAAGAATCTGAATTGTGTTATGTGCTAATTCTGTCTGGGACAGATAGGATCCCTTCAATTGTCCAGTAAGGGACCACCAAGGTAGCCTTGTCCCTCACAGGAAGAATCATACCCACATGTGAAGGGAAGAACCTGAGCTGTGTATCATAGCTCTTCTTTCATTAGCAATAAATCCACAGGAGAGCGAGGGCATTCCAGTGGCTCTGCAGTCAGTTTAGTGAGTTCTGCAGTCCTTCAGTTGAAAGAAGTTATACAGAGTGCTTGAGGGAAGCTAAGAGCAGTTTGCCTAATTAAGCAATAACTGCTATTTCAAAGATTATTTCTAAACAGTTGTCACTTATGAGACATGGATAGCCTCATTATGCAACCTTTTCAAAAACCAGACACTTGGAAGAAGAGTCTGTGTTTTGAAGAAAGAGAAAATTGAATAGTCACATGTAATGTGTTTGTTTCTAATATTGTACCACATCTGGACGTGCACATTCATAGGGTATATTTGCATGTGGGCTGAAGTTCCTTTTGGGAAAAAACTTACCTAAGGAAAAGAAGATAAAGCAAATGGACTTGACAAAAACACAAAAACTCTGACAATGTGAAATGCTGACTGATGCATAACAATATGCATGTACCTCTTTCATTTGGATTTGTTCTAATCTTCTCAGAACAACTTGTATCTGAAGTTTAGGGAAAAGAGTAATAGCAATCAAGGTCTGAAGGAACTGATTTTGCTAAAACAATTGAAAATATCTAAGTACAAAGTACTGTGAGTTATACATTAAAAAGATAAATAAAGCAAAATAACTATTTGCTTTAAGAAATACTACATGAAACCAAAAAGCTTTTGCACAGCAAAGGCAATGATCACCAGACTGAAGAGGCAACCCACAAAATGGAAGAAAATCTTTGCCATCCAACAAGGAATTAATGTCCAGAATTTACAGGGAACTCAAAACACTGAACTCTCAAAGAATCAATGACCCAATGAAGCAATGGGCAATAGAACAGAACAGAAATATTTTAAAGTAAGAAGCACAAATGGCCAAAAAAACACATGAAGAAAAGCTCAACATCCCTGGCCATAAAGGAAACGCACATCAAACCCACATAAGAATTCCACCTCACTCCTGTTAGAATGGCTGCCATCAAGAACACAAATGACAACAAGTTTTGTCAAGGATGTGTGGGGAAAGAACACTTATACCCTGCTGGTGGGAATGTAAATTACCACTTTGTAAATTACCACTATGGAAAGCAGTATGGAGGCTCCTCAGAAACCTAGAAACAGAACTATCATATGATCTAGCAATACCACTGCTAGGCTTATATCCAAAGGAAAGTAAGTTAGGATAAAGTCATTGGCACATCCACATTTACTGCACCATTATTCACAATAACCAAGCTATGGAAAAAGCTCAGATGCCCCACAACTGACCAATATGTTAAGAAAATGTGAGATATATGTATACATATATATGTGTATGTATATATATAATAGAATATTATTCAGCCATAAAAAAGAATGAAATTTTGTGGTTTTTAGGTAAATGGATGAACTGGAGAACATCATGTTATGTAAAGCAAGCCAGATTCAGAAAGACAAAGGTCACATGTTTTCTCTCATATATGGAAGACAGATCCAAATACAAATACAAGCATTATTATATCTACATGCATATATCTGCAAAATATTTCCAAAAGTAGTACTTTAGAGGAGACTAGGTGAGTAGGAAAAGAAGAAAAGAATGACGGAGAGTGAATAATATTGAATACATCACATGTGTGCTGGAACAAGACACATGAAACACACTGAAAACTGTTGAACAATACAAGGTAGGGGAAAAGGTAAGGAAGAGTAGTAGAGGGGGTTAGACTGGTTAAAGTACAGTATACTTACAGACAAACTACTCAGGCAAAACTCCCCTGCACAATGAACAGCGACTTAAACAGTGAAGGACAGGAACATAAAACAGCTCCTGTTCAGGGAGGGTGAATGATGAGGGTGAAGGAGGGTGAATGTGGTTGAGGTACTTTCTATACATGTATAAATATGGAACACTGAAACCTGTTGAAGCCATTTGAGAAAGAGGAGAGGGAAGAGGGAGAATAATGAAAGGGATGAACCAAACAAAGCTATAATATATATATATATATGGAAATGTCACCAAGGAACCCTCTGTATAACTATCATATACTAATAGAAACATTTTTAAAAATACAAGTGGAAGATGGGGAAGATGGAAGAGAAAAAACCCATCCTTCAGCACCCCATGGGCAGGAACCTTCACTAATCTCTCCAGCAATCTGCACTGCACTCTCTCAAGGCTTACAAAGGAAAAAAGAAAAACTTTCATGGAACATATGTGAAGCAATCCCTTCACAATTTCTGAAAATCAAAGGGAGATATACTTAAGGAGGCCAGACATCCCCAATAGCAAGGTATAGTTAGAAAGAGAAAAATGGAGTTTATTATTACTAAGAATATCCCTACATATAATTTGGGGACCTGAAAGGTACCAATGGACAAAGCCTTCTTCCAAGCTTGATGAATGCTTGCCTGAAAGTTAAAGAAAAATGCACAATCAAATGTGAGCTCCTAGGAAAATACTCTTTCATTGAGTTGTATGGAGTTTTTTTTTAAAGAGAGGAAAGTTTGGAGAAAGAACTAATCCTCAAAGGAAAAGTATTCACTAGTATACCTCCAAGAACTTAGACACCTTTACAGACACTTGTGACCCTGAGCATTTTATAGGTCCTCAGAAAGGAAGCAGAGAGAAATAATACTAACTACAAATTAAATATTCTATACCTCAGGAGAAAAAATATCTAGATAAATGCTGTGATAAACTTACACATTATCAGAGGGAAAACTCATTGAAAGTATTAAATTATTCATTCCGTATATAATGAGAACCCTTAGGGAGACAGGCAAGAAGTGGTACTTCTAATGAGCTAGTGACTCAATGATTTTAAATTAACAAATCAGTCAAACCAGACAAAAAGTGGATTTGTCCTGATAAGGTTTGCTAAATTAGTCAAGTTTTTAACAAATTTGAATTGAAAGCTTTGAAAGACCATCATTAAGAGATACTTTCCCATAGGAATTTAAAACCTATAGAAATTTGAGTAAGCAAATGGATTTAATTGAAACCTGACTGTATGAGATAGGCCTTCTCATAAACTGGAGTTCGCAAAAGAGTGTAGACCTTGGAATATAAACTCTCCACCGGCATTCTGTGTTGCTTTAGGTAAGTGACTTGTCCTCTTCAAGCAAAAGGGAGATCTTAATACATGTGTGTGTGTGTTGAGCACGAAGAAGATAATGTTGATAAAGTAGTGTCTACGAGAATTCTTGGCACATAAGAGATGACATGGAACTTGTCATCATAGTCACCACCATCACTATCTTTTTTTTTTCTGTTACTACCAAATGGCAAACAACAACAAAAACAACTAATTCTTATTTTTTGTCCTAAAAATACTAAACTCCCTCAACCAAAATATAATTAGACACATATACTTTTAGCTAAGTAGTATTGAACCATGTATCAGGGTACTATTAGGATCACTTAAAGAGGGTTTTGTAAAGACTATGTAAGATGTAAGACAGTGCAACCTCTGGAGCTGGCAATGGTGGAGTTTTTACATACCTTGCCCAGGGGGCAAGGAAAGGGCTTAGTGACCAATACCCAGGAGGAGAGAGTCATGCTCAGTGGGCTGCTTACATAAGGAAGGTTACTGTCTGGGACACAGTTACTCTTAGGAAGAAAGGAGATTAGATGAAGCACATGACCTTGCTTTCTCTTCCTTCTGATCTCCTGGCCATGACTCCTCACTAGCCAAATGTTACTGCACCAGAGGGCAAAGGAAGCTGCTGATGCATTTGCTTCTGTCTGATCAGCCTTCCAGGGCAGAAACCTCTGATGATAGGGCAGAGAGTACAGAGAGGGACTGTAGGAGAAATGGAAGATGTGCCATGCAAATGTGGTCTGCAATCTAGCATGTGGATTGCATTTTTCTGATACCTCATTCATTCTGAAAAGAATACCTATCATTTATCTTCTCACTAACTCTGTGGGATAGACATTGTTAATATATTATCCCCATTGCATAAAGAGGAAATTGGCTCCAGAAAGTAAAGTCAATTGCCCAGTAAACAGCAGAGCCAGGATTCCAACCTGATCTGTCTGTCTTCATGGCCTGCCTTTTTATCCACACTGCTACACTGCTTTGCTGCTGATATCACAAACCAATGCATTTTAATTATCAACAAGGGGTAATCACTACAATGTATCTAAGTTGCACCTCTACCAAAGAATGATATAAAGGTTGCCTCTCAGGAAGTAGTTTTCTCAGTTCCTACAAATTCCTCCCTCAGCAAAGATAATGCGATGAAACAGCAGAAAACGTTTCTCCCTCCAGGTGCACTAAAAAAAACAGGCAAGCAAACACCGACATGTTTGATTCCATTATGATAGGAGTTTTCACATAAAAGTTAATTAGGGAGAAGAAAGAGTCTGCTCCTGCAGGGAAAATACTTTAGAAATAGAAATGAAGAGAGTAGGTGAGTAAGATAGATGGTGCTGGGACATTCAGAGAAGGAACCCGAGCCTGAGCACCTGAATAAATTGGGCAGCTTTGATGCAAGGATAAGGGAGTTAAGATGGGTTGTTTCCTGGAGATTAAGGGTTTATGTAGTAGAAAA